GGGGATACCCCGGGCCTCCCCAGCCCTGGCAGGGCTGCCGTGAGGGCAGGGCCGGCACCCAGGATGTGGCAGCTGGCGCTGTCACTGTCCCGTAAGTGACTAACTGCTATTCCTGCCTAGAGACTCACTCTCTTCCCCCATTTACCAACACAGCCCCCACTGAGCTTGTCACCCTCCTTCTTCACGGCTCCCTGTGACCTGGGGGTTAGTCCAAGTTGTGTACTTGGGGGGCACACAGGCCCCTTTCACTGTTAGCTGGGGCCCCCCAGAGGCTCGGTCACCCCGCTGCCTCGTCTCCAGGAGCCCCGCTCACTGATCCACACACATAGCCTTGCACCGCGGCCTCTGCCTCCAGCCTCCATGGCCTGGGCTGCCCTGGCACAAAAGACGAGGCCCCGTCGCGCCCTCCGGGCTTGGCTCCAGTGCAGCCTCCTCCCGGGGTCCACTCCTCACAGACGGAGTTACCGACAACCTCCTGGGGCCCCACGACCACGCAGGTATGTGCGCCCACAGCGCCAACGCCTGCGGCACGCGAGGACCATCAGGACGGGGAGGCTCTGTGCACGGGCGAGCTCATTTCACCCTCCTCATGGCCTCTGCACCCCCAGGAGACTGGCCAGCACGACGGGGCGTGAACGTGATCCAGTGACGGTAAGTGACGAAAACGTGCATTTGCCCAGTATTGGCTTGTTAAGCACATATTCTTAATACGTGCTGGATGAGATTTGGGGAAATGCTCACTACTGTTTTCATCACCAACACTATTGTTGAAGCCTGTCTCCTGCCACGTCTGAGGTCACCTGAGCAAGGTGCAAGGTCTTTATCATCCTCCGTGAGAAGCACAGAGTCGGTAGTCAAAGTTTGTTAAACGGATGAGTACTGGACAAATAAATAAATGTCCTGTGAGCTCCAGGACACAGAAACCTGTTAACCTGGTCAGTTTTTCCAAAATATCTAGCACAGAGCGAGGCACACGATAGGTGTCTAATAGACACTTAATGATTTGGGGTAACGGGATATAAGATTATCTCTTCAAACCAGAGTAAGTTTACAAGTTCTCTTTCATCTCTGATTCCTGTATCAAGCCAGTGACCATGTCTGCCCTGTGTAACTGCTGCCGTTCAGACGCGAGGTGTCAGGTCTCCAATTACCTGTAGCTCCGAGCACAGCTGAGACAGTGTTTCTTCAACAGCGAGGGACTCTAGGGGAAAAAAAAAAAAATAACACAACACGCAATGAGACAGACACACGCTGAAATGCAGCAGTTGCCAAGTGCACGAAAGCAGCATAGGTGTCAAGTTGGATCAAAGCCACGGAAATAAACCCAACGCCCAAGGACCCTTCTCCTATCTTTTGTCACTTTTCAAGGGGGTCGTGTTTGTAAAGAGGATGAACCTGGAGCCCTGTGACAGCCCCGTGAGGACACTCCAAGAAGGTCGACAAGGACCTGGTGTAGCTCAGAGTGATTCCACATCCTTTCGTGCTTCTGCGGGTACACGCACACACGTGCATACGTGTGACACGTGTGACACGTATGGGGCAGGGACCTGTATCTCCAACGCACCAACGAATGATCAGAAGCCCAGGGAAGGGGAGTGGCAGAGCTGAGTGGCCTGCCAGCTCCAGCGGCTCTGACGTTGATTAATGATCATCACGTCATCCCATGGCACTGACCGCGGACCCTATGATCCTGCTGTCTCACGGGCAGGCGCCCACTGGTGATTCTGTGCTCACGGTTCTGCCTGTGTTTGAACCCCGCCCTGGCTCCACGGTGCCACGGTCAGCGGGTTACACTTGGCTGAGGCACGGGCTCTGACAAACGCCTTGCTGCCCAGGTGAGCGTGAGCACACGCCTGTGCACCCTGCGGCTGTCCTCAGGCCCGTGAACCCCATCAGGCGTAATGGACTTTTGTCACACTCATCACGGTCGTGTCTTTGGTGTCTGGCACACGGTAGGTGCTCAGTAAAAATACGGTTGTGAATGAATGAACCACAACAACTCAGTTCTTTTGATAAAAAGCGAGAGCGGAAGTCAGTCGCTACTGCACCATTGCCACCATCCCTCTGAGCCACGTGAACCGGCTGATTCCGGGCATGTCTCCACTGTGTGAGTGGCACTGAATATAAAAAGATCAACTCCACGAACTGCACGATCCAAAGAGTAGCACCTGCCCTGTCTGTGATGTTAGAGCTGATAGAGCCAGCTGGCAAAGTGGCACCGGAACTCAGTCCACCGCCAAGAGCGCTGCTCCCAGCCCTTCACCCTGCTTGCCGGGCACTGTGTACGAGGGGCCTCAGGGGACCTCTGCTCTCAAAGACCCAAGTCTAGTGGGGGCGAATGAATCGCTGTCGTAGGATGTGTTCGGTGCAATAATGGGCAACGTACAAGGTCACGGACTCCGCCCGCACCCAGGTGATCTCAGCAGGTGCAGTCCAGGGGGACAGGGAGAGAAGCCGAGGCGCCCGGCAGGTTTCCGCTGTTAGCCCTGAACACAGGCGGAGGACCCGGCCTCTGTCCTAGGGGCAAAGGGGTCCCCTTAGAGGACTTTGAGCAGAATCTCCGTGCGGCACCTGCTGTAAATGAGTGTGGCATGAAATAAGGGGGGAGCACTGCAGGGCCTGTGCGCTCCTGCCACGGCTCTGCTGTGTGGCCCTGAGCAGTCACTTCCCATGTCTGAGCTTCAGCCCCACCCTCTGCCACCTGAGAGCGGTGCAGGTCCTGTGGTCTCCACGACACGGGATGACGTGCAAGAAACAGTTCACCCCCGAACCCGAATGTTCTGGCTACTAAGAGGTTTCTACAACCGCCCGGATTTAAAGCATATGCGTATTTCTTTCTCAGGACTGTTTTACACTCTCGTAAGTTACGATCCCGTAACTAAAGCTTCATTAAGGTTAAGACGAGCACTTTCCCTTGAACGCGACTTAACGCCATGTACCAGTAGTGCCAGGTATGCAGTAGGTGTTCAATACATGCTTGGGGGGCGAACGAATGAGTGGGCGAGTGTTCCTTAGGTTCCTGTGTCTTCCCCTCCCGCATTTGCTCATCCCGCTAGCATCCTCTGCCGGAGTGGAGCAGGCTACAGAAAAGCTGGCCGCAAACAGGGCTTGTTACTCTGACACAGATGTCTGCTGCCTGCTCGCACCCCGGTCCGAGAGAGGCAGGTCGGCCGCTGGGATGAGCGTTCGCCCTGTGCCCGGCCCCTTACCCAGCTCCACGTGTGGCAGCTCTGGGACGTCCCGCATGATGACCAGGAAGTAGGCGCGCAGTCCCCGGTGGGCGTGTAAGAGCAGGAAGCACAGCTCTCGGTGCCACTTGTAAGCGTGCTGCATGCAGCTCTCCGAGGACGCGTAGAAGCTCCCCTGCCGGAGAACAGAGACCACGGTGGAGCCGTCACACGCACGGCCTGGCCCCGACACAGCGCGGGAGGCGGCTCAGCACCCCGGGGAGGGAGGCTGAGTCTCCTCCTCTCTGCCAAGCTCTGTCTTATCACGTTCAAATTACAACGGCAATAATGGGAATAAGAGCTGACGATGATGAGGGCGATGATGGCGCTGACCTCGCAGGTTCGTGGCAGCGGAGTGGCATCCGCTTAGGGCCTCTTTCCCCTGGCCCTGTGAGAAGAGGCCATGGAGACCGACAGAGGCGGGCTCCTTGGCACGGCGGGATAGCAATGTGGCGACACCCCCGCGGTCGGCAGGCGTGTCGTACATGCTGCCGGAAAGGAGAAAGGCGCTCTGTTTAAGTGACGGAGAAGTGGGGTACAACGGTCCCCGCAGCCGCGCATGCCGGGAGAGGCTCTGCGTGTGAGCGCGCCACGTCGGAGGCGCGGTCCATCGTCCCCTGTGCCGCTGCGGGGCACACTAAACTGGCAGAAGGACACAGATGAGGTTTGTCCGACAAGGAAAAGATGCCTGAATCCACGACATGACGAAGGAGGAGGAAGAGGACAGCTCTGACTCCCTCGCTGTCCTGGCAGCGAAGGAGAGGGCGTGCGTCTTAAGGACAGAGAAGGGCCTCCCACGGGACAGGCTCGGGCAGCAGAACGGGGAGGTATCGAGCTGCAGAATCCCATGCACCTAGGACCTGCCCATCCACCCACGGCTCTTGTGGCCACGAGGGGAGGCGGCAAATGGTCGTCCGAGATGCCGAGCGCCTCGCCTGTCCCGCGGGGAGAAACGGCAGGTGGGGAGCGGTGGAGCTCCACCCCTGGCTTCTGTGAGCTGACTGCGGTCGCTGATGATGGGTCTAGTGCGGGCAGGACAGGGCTACGTCATTTGTCCTTCATCTGCGCCCCTCACGGCGCGATGCAGGCAGACGACAAGGAGCGTAATGATGCTCACTCCAATCGTACCGTCGTGATGATTGGCTTGTGTAGGATACGAGGCGCTACGCGTCAGGAAGCGTGGATGGAAGGCTCAGGTCTGCTACCACCTACCTCTGAGACGGTCTCAGGTCAGTTCTCTAGCAAAGAGACTTCGAGACAGAACTATGCCTGCACGGAGGTCCCGGGGGGACTCTGGGAGGCGACACTGCAGGGCAGCAGGACGGGCCGAGGGAGAGGCCGCCTCACACTACGATGCCAGCACGAGAGACCCGGCCAACCCTCCGAGAACTCTGGACCCGCAGCGCTGTCTGTGCTGGGGATGGAGCCAGGTCAGTGTACCCACGCATTCACCATCAATGGGAACGGGTCGCCCCAGGCACACGTATGACCCGGCTGATGGCTGTGGGCCACCAACATCCCCAGAAGTGTGCGGGATGATGGGTTCGGCCTGAAGATGGGCTCTGGGAACCACGGAATTCACCGGAAGAAGCCTCGGCAGCTCCCATCGTTCCCCTGGGCCTTAAATGAAACCTGGCTTTGTATTCTGAGGTCCCTTCTGATTTGAACCTGAGACATTCAACAAGTTGGTTAGCATTACCCACTGTCTACAAGATCAAGTTCAAATTTCTTAGCATGGCATTCACAGCCTTAAGCCCTGACCCCATTACCAAGCTCATCTGCGTGTCACTCCAGATCTCTAGAGCTTTTCTCCTTTTAAGAGCCTGTCCCCTTGCGGCCCGAAGACCACCACCATGTCCAGGTCAAATGCCATCTCTGTGCAGCTTCTCCAACTACTTCTTCTTCTCTGCTCCCCGGCACCTACCTCATTAGACCACAATTATTTCTGTATATATCTCTGTCTGAAGGAAGGAA